TGTGGTTTGTCTCTACAGATTAAGTGCATAGGAGCTTTTATGGGATTTTGTATTGTGGAAGATAACGAGCCTTCACTCTGCGTTGCGTTTAAGCAACAAGTTGCCAGAGGCAGTTTATTCGAGCAATATTGCAAGGGAAGACAGCATAAGCAGATCTTCAAATACAAAACAATTAAAAGCCAATATGTATACCTTTCTGTTACATATAACATCAAACAATTACTTCCCTGCCCACTCGGTTCCCATTGGACACTGTCTTATCTCAAGGTTCTCACTGAGGTCAGCATTCCGCTCTTATCTATGTGAGAGAGACAGAGAGGCGAACACAGCGTCTCTTCCAGCTCTCGCGTTAGCAGGAGTCAGAGTGAACCAGACTCTTGCTCTGCTACTGACAAACCCTGAAATGGCCACCCAAATCCCTTCTCCCTTAGTCCTGCTTCCACAGTATGTTCTCCGTGTATTGCTTTTGCCGCCAAGCTAAATGTGGTTTCTCAGAAAGAGCTGTGGTGTAACTTGTCACTGCTGACGATCCACAGTTCACAGCTCTTGGAGAGAAAGCCAGGGCTAGGTGCTGGCCGTGAGGCGGGCTGGCTTGCTGGGGCTATCCCAGTGCAAAGCAGGGAGCTGTGCAGGCTTAAGACTTACCAGTCAGAAGGGAGTGGGACAAAGGTCCCTACCGCTGACAGGTGCCAGCTGGAGACCTGAAGATTCACTGGGCACTCCTGGAATGGACCACAGAGCCCCTGGGACTGTGGCCGTTACAATGGGAGTTGCCAGCAGTAACTTGACACAAAACCCCAGATGACACTTAACTGTTCAATGCTGTGAGAGAGAACAAGGGTTTCATTAACATCTTATCCCCTCCTGGGCCCAGCCTGCCCTTTTCAACACGCTCATAGCTAGGAAAAATACAGGCAGCTACTGCAAAACAAACAATCAAAACAAGCCAAACCAACCTTCCCAAAGAGCTCTGTTAACGCCGGCTCCACCTTACACAGCTTTGCTATTCACGACTGTCATCAAAGAGGAAATTAAGAGTCCTCACTGGTGTAGTGCTAGTCTGCTGTTCAAGGTACTGCATATTCTCCACTGAGAACGGATTCATTGTTGTCGTCTTTAGTGACAGCTGTAGTAGGTTGTTTCATGCTCATATTCAGCATTTCATAGGGCACTTTACAAGAGCTAATGAATGAAACCTTGTGAGAGCCTTGTGCCCTTTGTGAATGGAGACCTTTGCAAATAGGGAAACTACACATGGAGAGAGTTGGTGATTGAGTGCCTCTTCCCTTCCCCCCAGCACAGTGATAGAGCTAGACTGGGGCAGAGCAAAGGAAAGAAATCAAGAGTCCTGATTTCCCACAGTTCAGCTCAAACCACTCGATAACAATCCTCCCATGCGGCAGCAGAGCAGCTCTCATCAACATCACTGGAAGCTACACATGGGACTCCCTTCCTCTATGCTCTGAGTGTCTCAAGACACTCATCCATCTGACCTGCAAATCCAAAACCCAGAGCACGCAATCCAGCCAATCTGCTAATGCACATGGTTCTCCTTGCTGTAACCGCCTGCGCTTTTTATGCCAGACCCAGATTTCCTGGCACTGCTCTGAAAGGAATGAAACTTGACTCCACATCATTAAGCTGAAAGTAATGCTGAGTCGGAGACTGTCCTTTTGGTCTTTAGGTGGTGTACTGTGGCCTTCTTCTGGATCAACGTGAATGTAAATCAGCTGAGAATCTTATCCACTGTGCTTTGGGACTTTTGGTTAGAGCTGCCTCCGTGGGCGCATTGTCAGACTGTTTATGGGCCTGCCATCAAGAGAAGACTGTAAACCATTGACACAGACGGGAGAAGAGGACTCTGGGAAGCATTTCTCTCCTTTTTGTCATATCATTTGAAGCCTAAAGCGACACTGTCAGTTAGGTGAGGCCACAGCAGCAGGAAAGAGGAGGAAGTGAAATCTTGCAGAAACCTCTGAGTTGCTCCCGGATTCAAAATTACATCCTAAGTTGCCCTATATTCCTTGAAACACGTCTCACTGGGGCTCATCCACATTGCAATTAGAAATGGGTTCAGGAGTATGTGAAGGAGAAAAAGAACCCTGGGGAAACCGCCCTCTTTTCCTTCGCTCCTGATGCAGAAAGAAGACCTCAGAGGGCCTGTATGAGAACTTTTCCTGCAAGAATTTTACATTAGAAATCCCAGGGTCCTGGCTATCTTCAAGACCTTATGGATGACTGGAGAAATGGCAGGTTTCTGGCATCAGAGGAACCTGACTGAGATGGGAAACTATGCTTTAGAACTCTCTGAACAGTGAAGTGGATGACGGTTGGTTGTTTATGTTAACTCGAGCACTTGGGAGAAAAACTCTTTGTTAAAATGTTAGCATCCTATTTCTTCAATTAAGGGTCAAGGAAACTCCCTAGGGAATTCTCTAGCCAAAACAAGGAGAAGCACACTTGATCATTTGATAATTCTAAAACTAAATAATTAGAAAATACTGGCTTGATCTAAAGAGAGAGAGCACGAGAGTGAGCATGAGGGAGAGCGCACACACGCAAACCCATCATTTCCCCCCTTTCCGTGTCACCTTAAAGCACGGATGGGCAAGGTGCGACCCAGATTCGGCCTGCCAAGCCATTTGATCTGGTCTGTGGCCCAACGGCCACTCCCCAACCCCCAAGCCAATTGAGACCCAGGGGCAGGGGAGTGCACAAAGTCATTCGTCTTTCAAAGCAGCTGGCGGCTCCCTTCCCCTGCCAGGGGCACATAGCGCCTAGAGGGAGCCACCAGCTGTTTTGAACAGCGAATGAATGCCTGCTCCCCCCCACCCCCTCAGGCCAATCGGGGTCTGAGGACAGGGGAGCACACAAAGTCACCACCCCCTGGCAGGAGCACCAAACACCTAGAGGGAACCATTGCTTCTGCCCAAGACCTTGCACCTTTCTCCCTGAGCCCCTGCTTTTTCCAGGGAGGCCCAGAGCCGGCCCACAACCACTACCAAAATTTGTGAACTGGCCCCCCTCTGCAAAAATTATTGCCCACGCCTGCCTTAAAATATACCCATGCTCCTATACATGCTTATCTGATAGGGGCACAGCTCCGACCATTCAGCACTTTCACAGGGCAGGCACTTTTCCTAGCACGACCGCATGTCTATTGGACTGGCTTTGCCACGCACATGAGGATTATTTCAGGTGCACTGTGGGAACGCCTGTGCCTACTACTGCATACTTCCCCGGGGGCTGAAGCCTGGGCAGGGGACTGCGAGTGTTTTACAGGAGGCATCGTGCTTTGGGATGTCCTCTCATATGAATGTCCGATAGAGAACTGGCTAATCCAGTTACGTTGACAGTCAGGCAGTTCTAGGTACAGGGCACAAGGGCCATGCAGACAGATCCCAGTTCCAGCCCAGACACTGCGTTGCTTATAGCACCCTCCCGGCCAGGAACCAAGGACCGGACTGAGCCCTGCCATTAGCCATTGAGTTTTATGGGAATCTGCAGAGCTGGATTTGGTTCCATATGTGGACACATGAACCCCGTGTGCAGTCAACGTTGCTTCAGCCCACATGCACACTTGGACAGCACATTGCAAGGAAACTAGGCTGAAACTGCAACCTGAAATTGGGCAGATTCTGTGCAATTTGAGGTTGCAGAACAAAAAAAACGCCGGCAGCTTAAATTATTTCCACAGATCAAATGCAGAAACTGCCTGAGCTGCTGCTGCACTTCTAGTGTTAATAGGTCACCTCCAGACATTTAGAAACAAATGCTTGTTCTGATTCACTATGGGAGCAAGGATGTAAGCCCTCATAACAGGGTTTTGGGGGGTGTAGCAAAATCTGAAACAGCCCCCTCACATCCATAAACACTGAAGGGAGGAACTGGAGCAGGGAGGTAAGGCTGGAGAGCGAATTCACCCCACAGCGGCTGCTCCTGTCCTACAAGCCTGACCCCAGTTCCCCACTCGGAGCACACAAGAGGGAATTCAGTTTCACTCAGGTTTGGTCTGGTCTCCCCTCTCTCATTATGGACAGGTTGCTGGACCCATTCTGAGCAATGCTACAACTCTGTTTGCAGGCTCTCTCATATGGGGGCCCTGGAGCAAACTGCCCCTCCAGCCTATCCTGTCACAGGTGCATGAAGGGAAAACCTGCCAGTGGGAGGCCCTACTCACACCCACCAGCTGATGAATGGATGCTCACTTAATGCAGAATTGGTATGCAGTTGCAAATGTAACACTGTTTCCCCGAGCTTGAACCAAGACATTAACTGGATGTCGCATTATAAAGCCAGCCTTCCATGCATTTAACACCTCATATTTACATCCAAAGCTAAGTATGGGACACTCCCAGACCACTTAATTAGCCTCATTAGCACTGGTCTTACAACTGGTATTTTTTTCTTCCGTTCCCTGTTATACAATACTTGGTTTCATTTATTCCTCTCCAGCTGATCATCGGATGAAGTGGGTTTTGCCCACGAAAGCTCATCAGTTTGGATTTATCTGTGATTTGAAATTTCAACCGATAACCCTGCTCCATCAACCACAACTGAGCTGTTCTTTGTCAGTTGCTGGTTACTTCTGATAGGACACTTAGGTCACGTGGTACCCTCTCTGGTACCTGATTGGACCTGAAGTAGAACCGGGAACGAGCTTGGTGCCTGGGATAGAACTGGTGGTGTGGAAAGGGAAGAGGAGGTGAAGGAGCATGAAGAGGAGAAGACAGAACTGAGGCCCTTTGGTTGCATATGGCAGGATGGCACAGCTGCTGCCCAGGGCTGTACTCGTTCTGTGTCCAGAGAGGAGGCTCCCAGTTAAAAAAGGGTTTCTGAGAAATGCAGCAGCAGAGAAACACATTGGCTATATGTTACTGAAGAGCACTGAGTTTGAAGGGTGTAAGTCAGGGTGGAATTCAAGTATTAACCCCTGAACTGAAGGGAGTTTGCACATCACCACTGATCAGACTTCCCTGCCCGTGAGCTCCCCAACAGACCTGCCTGGCGGCTGGAGAAGGCAAAGACAATGATGTCATCAAAAGTCCAGGTGTAGTCTTGGTGTGGAGGATAAAACATCAGCTGGTCTGAGGCCTCTTTCCTCAGGTCAATGAGGAATGTGGAGTGAACCATCGGGACAGCAAAGCAGCCCAACCTCTTCCATTCCCTGATCAGGGCATAATCCGGGGTTTTTCTATAATAGCCCTGAAATGCAGAGAGAGCAGTTTCTTAGTGAGAGACATTTCAAATTCCTAGCCCAAAAACATTCCAGCCTTTTCAGCAGAGCCTCACCAACGTCTTAATCCCAGGGGCTGTTTAAACTTCACAAAACAGCCCCACTCTTTCTAATGGGCTGACCCAGCCTCCTGAACACAAGTACCCCCAAGCCATACGGCTAGACCCCATCTTCCCTTTTCAGCAGCTAATGGAGCTCTGTGCTGTATCCCTGTGCAGCTCCTTGGCTACGTCTAGACTACAAGCCTCTTTTGAGAGAGAGTGTCTAGATAGCAACCAGCGTTTTCAAAAAAGAGAGACGCTGTTTCAAAAGAGAGCACCCAGGCAGTCTGGATGCTCTCTTTCGAAAAAGCCTTGTTTGCATTCAATAACGCCTTTTTTCAAAAGAACACTTTCAAAAAAAGGCATTATTCCTCGTAAAATGAGGATTTCCACGATTGAAAAAATTGTATTTAAGTATGAAAGAACGCGGCAGCAATCTAGACGCAAGGGAAGTTTTTTGCAAAAAGGGCCACTTTTTTCGAAAAAATCCTGTAGTCTAGACACACCCCTTGGCAGCAAAGCCAAGCGGGTCAGGTTTTACTCCATGACTCTCTAAACCTACATTTGCAAACACACCTCCAAGACCAATCCTGCGAAGTGAAGAGCATCCTCTATTTCCACTGAAGTAAATGGGAGAGGAGGGAACAGAGCAGCTCACAGTATCAGGTCCTTAAATAAATCAAATCCCCTTCCTGTTGCAGGGCTGCCCACAGAGCGACGGGGGCGGGGGCAACGAGGTAGCTGCACGAGGGCCCAGCAATTTAAAAGGGCTGCACCGTTACCTCACGAGCAACCAGAGCCCCAGGTTCTTTAAATTGCCACCAGAGCCCCAACAGTGCACGCCTTGCAGCCCTGGTGGTGCATGAGGGCTGGCTGGGAGAGGCTAGCCCCAGCCCCGCCCCTTCTGACCAAAGCCTGGAGCCAGCTCCCCTCAGAGCCTGGCAAAGACTCTCATCAGCAGGGCTGTCAGGCAGACACAGTGCTGCTCTTGATACGGCATCCGTTGAAGTCGATGGGAATTTTCCCATTGGCTCAAGAGCAACTAGAACAGGCCCTTTGCCAGCAACGGGACAGATTCCTTCCACTGGAAACAGGGCGGGTTCAGTTTGTCGTCTTCCCGCAGCTCTGGGCTAGTGGTGTGAGACGGCGGAGTCACCCCAGTGGAGAACATCTTTCACGTCCACGAGGGCTCCACCACAGGAGATCAGTGGGCAGGCCTGGCCAAAGAGTTTGTGGGGCCCAAGGTGTGTGGCCAGGCGGCTCCCAGCCTGGGCAGTGAACGAGCAGCCGGGCAGCACGAGGCCCAAGGTGACCACCTTGCTCGCCTTGCCCTAAGGCCAGGCCTGTTAGCAGGTCACTGTGTCCCCCTCCCAGCTGGATCTTCCATCATTGTGGGCTGGGTTGTGGTTAGGGGTTTAATTTGCATGTGAAATGCTGCTAACAGTGCCAGTGATGAAATGAGACCTAAAACTCAGTCTGAGACGGCCTTAATACACTGATCAGATCTCTGACGATAACATGGACTGGGAGGGGAGCCATAGCAAATTCTGGTCTTTTTAAAGTAAAATAATAACTATGAAATAAAACAACCATCACCATCATTCCTGAATGTTCCACAAGTATCCCAGCACTAGATGGAAGTTGAGCAGACATCTTTCAGTGCCTTTCCTCTCTCCATATAAACCAGCGAGGGGCGCCCTAGGCTAGTGAATGGGCCGCATGAGCGGTTCTCAATCTCTACGGGCTGCAAGTTTGTCGTAAGAAGAGGTTACTTACCTCGTAACTGTAGTTCTTCGAGATGTGTTGCTCATGTCCATTCTGCATCCCACCCACCTCCCCGTGTCGGAAGGAGCCGGCAAGAAGGAACTGAGGGGTGGGAGGGCCAGCAGGGGTATATATGCACCGGTATACCGGTGCCACTCCAGGGGGCTCCCTGCTGGCCCTATGGATACTGCTAAGGGAAAAAAGCTCCGGAATCCGTGCACGCGGCGCGCGTACACCTAATCAGAATGGACATGAGCAACACATCTCGAAGAACTACAGTTACGAGGTAAGTAACCTCTTCTTACGACAAACTTGCAGCCCGTAGAGATTGAGAACCGCTCATGCGGCCCATTCACTAGCCTAGGGCGCCCCTCGCTGGTTTATATGGAGAGAGGAAAGGCACTGAAAGATGTCTGCTCAACTTCCATCTAGTGCTGGGATACTTGTGGAACATTCAGGAATGATGGTGATGGTTGTTTTATTTCATAGTTATTATTTTACTTTAAAAAGACCAGAATTTGCTATGGCTCCCCTCCCAGTCCATGTTATCGTCAGAGATCTGATCAGTGTATTAAGGCCGTCTCAGACTGAGTTTTAGGTCTCATTTCATCACTGGCACTGTTAGCAGCATTTCACATGCAAATTAAACCCCTAACCAGGCCTAGTATGGGACGCATACCCCCTTTCGCCTTGGGTACCAGGAAGTAGCGGGAGTAGAAACCCTTTCCCCTTACGTCTGGAGGCACCCTTTCTATGGCCCCTAGCATCAACAGGTTGGACACCTCCTGCTGGAGGAGTGTCTCATGAGAGAGGTCCCTGAAAAGGGACGGGGATGGGGGATGGGAGGCAGGGTAGGAAAGGAAGGGGATAGTCTAGGACCCAACGGTCCGATGTGATCTTTAACCATCCCTGGAAAAAAAGGGAAAGACGGTCCCCAAAGGGCGGACAGATAGGTGCTACTGGTACTCTGCTCTCTGGCGTACCTTCAAAATGAGGGCTTAGCTTGGGGACCGGGGGACAGCCCTTAGCTTCTCTCGGAGTCTGACCGTGGCCCCCTACGCCTGCCCCTGAAAAGGTCAGGGCGGCCATTGTTGTGGCCTCTCCTGCGACCTCTGTCATTGTTCTGCCCCCTTCTAGGGTAGGGTCTAGCCTGGAAAGAGCGCCTCTGAGGCGCTGGGGTATGTATCCCTAGCGACTTCAGGGTTGCCCTTGAGTCCTTCAGACTATGCAGCTTGGAATCAGTCTGCTCTGAAAACAAGGCCGGCCCCTCAAAGGGCAGGTCCTGGATAGTGGTCTGCACCTCGGGTGGGATGCCAGACACCTGCAGCCAGGCACTACGCCTCATCACCACCCCTGTGGCCATGGTGCGGGCTGCCGAATCGGCTGCGTCCAAGGCCGCCTGGAGAGAGGTACGCGCCACTGCTTGTCCCTCTTCCGTCAAGGCCCCGAACTCCTGGCGGGATTCGGGAGGAAGCTGGCTGGCAAATTTTTGCATGGACGCCCACGTATTAAAAGCATAACGCCCCAGCATCAGTTGCTGGTTAGCTATCCATAGCTGGAGGCCCCCTGAGGCATAGGCCTTCCGGCCAAGCAGGTCCAATCTCCTTTGCCTTCGGGGTGGGGCCTGGAGGCCCTTGGCACTCCTTTTGCCCAGCGGCCTGAACCACTATGGATCCCGGAGCTGGGTGGGTAAAAAGATACTCATGCCCCTCCTGGGGTACATAGTACCTTCTCTCGACCCCCTTCTGGGTCGGTGCAATAGAAGCCGGCGTCTGCCACAGGGTTTTAGATAGCTTGTCCACCGTTTTATTCAGCGGGAG